GTGTGTGCTCCATCTAATTTTAGACATGCATTTATCAGTTGAAAATATCATGAAGCTAAGCGTGTTAGCAGAGCCGGCCCTGAGAGTGTGCAAAAGGTGCAACCGCATAGGGCCCCCAATTCGGAAGGGCCCCCAAAATTTCTTTACATGTACACATATACATATAAATATACTAAATGTGCAAGAGAATATCGAAGTTATCTGCAAGCGGTAGTGGTTTAGGCTTCCTACTCCTTCACCTAGGACTGGGTTTCAATTCCCTATGGCTTTGCTTTAGAATTTTAATTTTTTTTGCATGTTATAACTTATTGAGCAGACAAATTTACACAAAAACATTCACCTTGTTTTGAATTCAAGACCTTTTGAAGGTAGAAAAAAAAAAACTCCTATAAAACAAACTTATTTTTGATTCCCTAATTTGTAATATTTCAATTTTATTGAATAAATTGAAAGTTAAGAAATAATATAAAAAAATACACCGTTAGAAAATGAAGGCCCTTGTCTAAATTTTGCACAGGGCCCCTATTCTCAAGGCCGGCCCTGCGTGTTAGTTGTTTTTTAGTAAAAGGATGATAACTGATTAAGGAAGTTAGCTACATATAAGGCTTGGTTATTGGTCTACCATATTAATCATACTGTCTAAACCAGTACATGACAATCAGAAAGAATCAAGACCCCGAAATTTAGCCATCACCTGCAAATTAGGTTACTTCTTTCCTGCTCAGAGCGTTTAGAAAGGGCTAACTCTACAATAAACTGACCTCTTGTCCCGCATGTATATAATTTTAGTAAATAATAAAGATCATTAAAGAATAAATGTAAAGGGGGACGAAGCCAAAACCCACAAAGAAAAAAAATAATACATCATTATGGGATATGCATTAGTTTGTAAAGCGGAATCCATGCAAGCACACGTAATCTGTAAACAAAGCAGTATGGACAACCGAGAATCGTGCCAAACCAAATTAGTAGAAGACATGCATATGTTAGCAAAACTATCGGCTACAACATTTCTGAGACAAGAAGAAGACAAGGAGGATCAAGATCATTCTAATAGAGAAACGGAAATAATACTAGAAGAGTCACTTTAATTAAAGACAACGGTAACCCTTCTAAAAAACAAATTCCACACCAATAATAATGACATAAATTTTTGCGAAAGAGGAATTTCAATGGCCAATATCCTGACATAAACCGCCAAAAAACCAATCACGAAATTCTTTGAAACTGCCCCCACAAGTAACAGGACCAAAATTTCCTTTAGACAAACCATTCGTATAAAGTTTAATCCAAAAGTCTCAAGAAGGATATCATAACACAAAAAGAAAAGTAGAGACCTTGTGAGGAATAGGCGGAATCCCTAAAATACAAATAATACGAGTATCCAAACCTTAAAGCGTGTTTTAGCTGGTTTGACGCTCAATTCCAAAATTAATTTTCTACATAAAATTTGACTCTTCCGTTCCCCTAAAAAACTATTCATGCATGCGGCCGTACGAATGGTCTTTGAAAATCCGCCGTACTTATTATAAACCTGCACATGGCTTTCTGCAGTCTCTGTGTATGAACTTGAGTATCGGCACTTTAATATATTCTAAAATTTTCTCATACACATGCATTGGTGAATGCATGCGTTTTGATGACTAAATCATATGTGAGTAACATGAGTAATTGGGACCATAGTCTAAAATATCCATAATATCTCGATATTTTCATCGAAATTTTCGTGTTTTTGGACTACTGATATTTTTTGGGACTATCGATATTTTTTGGAACTACCGATATTTCCGATATCATCGATATTTTAGACCTTGCTAAGTCACTCATGTATCTTACCATGCAATGTATAAAGTGTAAAATATTGTACTAATTCATTATATATAAATGATTATGGTGTGTTTAAACTTCTTCCATTAATTACTACATATTTTTACACTCACAATGTTTGTCAGCTCGCTATATAATCAACTTAAATCAGTTATATCTATCATGCAATGCATTTCCTTCCAATTTTTTGTGATAAACTAATAGATAATTGACTAAATAAACATCTTGCAAAGTTTCAATAAAAATTTCCAAGTTTTTCCAACAATTTCCGTGGTTTTTATTTAATTTTTATCGATATCGATAATATCCCGATATTTCCATCGAAATTTCCGTGTTTTTGGACTACCGATATTTCCGATATCATCGATATTTTATACATTGATTGGGACTGTGGAGGATATTTTATATATGTTTGATTGTACAACAGTTAGTCTTTATGGGTATATCACTACTACAATATATGCTATCACCGTCGGAGAAAAAACCGACGAGAAATCCGATTTCTGTCGGAAATTTAGCAAAAATCCGACATAAAACAATGTAATGTCGCATTTTCAAAGCGACATTATTGCTAGTGTCACAAAAACCGACGAGATATATGATTACAAAGTAGATCCATGCCGAATCGTAACTAGAAGATAAATCGTAATGAAAATAACAGTATGACGAAAAATTTTTAACTGAACATAAGACTGACTATAAATATGTCTTACTAAAGCATAACTATATATTATTATATTTATTCTCGGTAATATTTAATATATAAGTGATGAATTTACTAACCCCTAAAACAGGTGTCAAATTTTCATTATTCCTTTCACCTTTTTATTCAATAAAAGGATAAAAGCTTCACTTTATCATTTTTTTTAAATTTTTGGAAAAGAATGTGTTTGGGTTATATGGACATCTGTAATTTTTCCTTACAAGTTAAGAATGTATAGGTAGTATTTTTGGCACATAGCTAGGAGAACAAACTAGTTAGACGTACAAAAATAATTATTAATGGGGTAAATCCTACACCATAATTTTACATAAATTTAACACAAGTTTTAAACTATTAAACTATCTCACTATCAATAGTTGAGATTTAACCTAATATGATAATTAATTAATTTGTTTTTTTTAAATAAAAACATACATTGAAAGTAAAAATATGAAACCTTTCTTCTTCTTTTTTTCTCTTGTTCTTCACCAACAATCTCTTCTAATCCCCATTAACTTTCCATTTTTTTCCTTTTCTTTTCTCTTGGTCTTCACCAACAATCTCTTCTGTTCTCTATTTTATTGAAAGTTAACCCCAGCTTTAAGGTCATACTTCATACAGTGCTGACAAAAACAAAAAAAAATAATCTTCCATCTCTCTTCTCTATCCATCCTCACTTGAGATAATTTTTTTGCTTCTACTAAACGATGTTAAATATTAATTCTTATGCAAATCATTGCAGAACTCTTTTGAATTCCAGAGATAAATAACAAGGAAGGGAAGAAATAGCGTTGGCTGATAGAATAGTTTTGTTTTTTTGATACTCATGTCGAAAAAGAGGAACCCTTAGTTTCCAAATTACCCGGATTAAAACTAAAGAAGAGCAATGAACCTTTTGTATTTGGAAGATAGTCAATTTTTTTTTAAAGAAAATTTAGGTTCTTTCACTCAATGTGAACAAGGAAAAGAGACGGAACAACTTCGAAAATCCAATATGAAGGAGTGCCTGCGTAGGGGAGAGCATGTTCTTCCTTGGCCTGCAGTGGTGAACAATAATGTTATTCTTATCATATTTTTGTACCACAATTGTATACCACCTTAGGTGGCATTTGATGTGGACAGCCATATCATCTAAATTAATTAGCATTTAATTTCAAAATGTTAATCAATAATTAATAAAACAATTGTTAATTAAATTATGATTGTGGTACAAGGAGTTTCATTCTTCCACCTAAGATTATTTAAGTGTTTTAATTAATAAAAAGACTGAAATTAAATGATGTAGCTTGTCCAACCCATCTGCCATCTAAAATGATAAAAAAATGTGGTATAAAATTATGGTAAGAATATCATTAATTAGTGGTGAATACAAACTGGAGATGGAGAGCTACTGAGAGTTTTCTTACTTGATTAACCTTTGAAATTCGTACCATACGAGGCATGATTGATTACTGTGCATTTTAATTGTTATTTTGCATATAAGTTAAAAAAAGTAATAAAAAAAGTAATAATAATTTCTTACGAAGGGAAATTAATAATAACTAATTAGCTATCAGACTAAGTCTTAACCATTGATAGTGGGATAATTTAATGGTTTTAAAACTTGTGTCAAATTTTGCGTAAAAAATATGGTGCCACAGATTTATCCCCATATATGATACTAAAATAGTTATACAAAAACTTATTAACCTAAAGGTAGACAGGGAATACTCCGTTTCATATGATTAGCACATTAACGTTGATTAATTTTACACAAACTATATTACTAGAAAAAAATAGTTATGTTATATATATATAGTTCAAGTAGTTATAAGTATTTACTTTGGCATTCGAAATCCTATGTTCGTTTCTCTTCCTTCGCTTTCGCTTCTTGTTAGAAAAGTCCATAATTTTAAGATTTTTATATAAGACTTGTTATTTAATTAAGCTTCACTTATGTATCACTGCTAGAATCCTAGCTACTAAATCTAGTCTTGCTGTAATTATATAAAATGGACGTTTGCAACAAAATTACATAAGAACACATAATTCTACATGGTATAGTTTGCCCTCTGCCTCACAACACTAAAACCCTAGCTTTCCTTTCTTCTCTGCAAACCGACGTTCCTCCCCCGAAAACCCTAACCTTCACTTCCTGTATCAATGTAAGGCAATGACTCTATATATAGATGCGAGTTTGAAACTTGTTTGTGATCATTTAACCCTTATTTCATGCCTATAAAAAAAATCCTTATTGGGATTGAACTTGTCACTTGACTCATAACCTTCCAAAACACAACCAATATTTGTCCGAACCCCCTTTACTTGTAAGAGTACATCTTGGATCTACCGATTACGTTATGGCATGAGCCCAACTCATCGCGACCTGTCCCTGGAGTTGAATATATACCTCATTCAAGAATTGTTTTTTATCCAATCCAATAGAAAAGGAAAATCCCTTATGATACACCAAATCCAGCTCAATTACTGATAGAGTGAATAAATATGTTATTTCTTGAAATCTCTCTAGTGATCGATTTCATGAGGATGAATATGTGTAAAAACATAATATTAAGGATTCAACACCCTCTATGTGTAATCTTGTATATAAACATAAAATTTTCTAATTTTTTATAAAGATGGTTAAGTATATACTTTGGGACCGATGTAGAAAGGGGAAAAACAACAAACAAAATGTAACTCCAGACATCTGTATATATATTAATTGATTTGTTGACCATTAGCTCAGTGGCTCGTCCAGCAACTGGGAACATTAGTTTATCCTAATTAAGCATCTCTCTCCTTTCGGTGCTCTTTCATGATGTAGTTGCTAAAACCTTATTTATAAATTTTCAGTTTTCAAAAGGTAAAGCTGGCTAGCTACATCAAATCCTGTAGTCTCTGCAATACCGTTGAAGTATCTACTCCAACTCTAGAAATTTTGACCTACAAAGAATCATCACCAAAATAAAATGAATTAACTCCGTTTCATAAATGACCTTAATTGTTTTAGTATTTTTTTTAAGGTTAAAATAAGGGGTTAGACGATATTAGCTTCTCGGACAAATGTTTTAGTACCTGAGCATGCACCGAGTGGAAAACTTTATCGCCTATGGTGGTAAAGCTAGCACTGACAACTTCAGCTCCTTCTTCCTCAAGAACACTGATGACTTCATAAAACATGAAGTTCTTATTCAACCCACTGATCAGCATCACTTCTATGCTTGAACCCGAGTCTCTTAATTCAATAACTGGCAATCTTGAGCCCATCATCGCGGTTTTTTCTGGGTCAATATAGCCAATGTCAGACTTAGAACTGCCTAATTGTGACTTCATTGCTTTCTCCTTCCTCTCTTTCAGATTCTCGATTCTCTCTCTCAGTTTCTTTATATAGGATGCCGCAGTATCAAGCTGATTTTGCTGTGACATGGTACCCTGATCAATAGGGGAAAGGAACATTGCAATTAGTAAAGCCAATAATAAAATTTGATTTCTATTGAAATATGTTTAACTAAGGATCAACGTTCACTCATCCCAGATACTTTATATGTTACGTCATTAGATTATTGAATGATTCAGATTGACCATCTTACAACATAACATGTCATAAATGATACAATGAATCATTTTTTCATTCTTAAGTAAAGGGATACTGATCTTTCAAAGCTAGTTAGAGAGGGTGATGACTATATTTGTATACCTTGGAATTGGTGGTTTTGAAGTGTTGGGGAGGAACAAGTGAAGCAAGCTTGAAGCAGAGACTTTTCATGTGAATTCTTCTGTTTCTCTCCACTGTCTTCCTGTCCGGTTTGGAAGAAGACTCATTGTTACACCCCTTCATCCTCTCTCTCTCTCTCTCTAAAAAGAAGCAAAAGCCACAACACCCAAAATCCAAGGAAGCATGAAAAGCAAGAAATAGAGAGCAAATTAAGGGAGAGACTTTGGAAATAAGGAGGAGCTTACTGTAACCTGGATGCTTATATATAGTTGAAGCTACTAGTCCAGCCGATATAAGCAAAAACGAGTAAGGGGAACATACAGTGAACTTTCGATGTCATTAACCTTACTGGCAACTGGGGCCCGCCCTAGCGGATATTTAAAAAGGAAACTAATGAAAGGGCTTGAAAACTTTGAGTTTTAATGATAAGGACAAAATAAAGGATACAGTGAATAGTACCAGGATTGATTTTTTAATGTAAAAATGTGGTTTTTCGTTAAAGTGAACAGTACCGGGTACTTTTCGTTAAAGTTCCCTATTAAAAAAGAGTACGTGGCGGGATCTGAATTGGGTAGGACCCATTCTGGTTCTCGTGGATCCGTTGGATTTTGTTTGATCCAAAACGATATGTAATTTAAGGTGTCCGCAGAGGCGGGCTGATTTGCTGACTCTTGACCTTTTGACTGCTTGCTTATCTGAGAAACCCGCGCTTCCACCGTCCACTTTTCATGCTAATTAAATACATTTTAAAAGTATCTGCGTCTCTGTTGCAAGGGTTGTTTTCAAAAAAGAAACAAGTTTATATTTTGCATTCACAGATCAAATACCTCCGATTATTGTATTTTGTTTATTTGTTTTCAAATTAGTTTTGAGTTTTTTATTTTATTTTATTTATTTATTTTTTTTACAGCCAATGTGATGTAGTAAATTTACCTAAATTGTAAGGAGAAGAATTGGAATGCAAAGCGAAAAACACATTGTTCTAGTCACTATTTTTATTTCAGATTCATATTTTTCAAACTTTTTTTTTTTATATTCTGTATTAGTGTTTTATAAAAGGGTCATATTGAGTTCTCGTCACAGCTAAATGCGACTATGACCACTTGTAGCATTTTCAATATTAGGTTAATTATCATTGTTATTGGAAAATTAAGATAGAGTCTATCAGACCATTTTCAATCGAAATGGCTAAACATAGCTCTATCTAAAATTATAACTCTGTAAAACATTGTTTTCAAATGACCAGTGTCAGTTCATATTCATATACCCTCTCCAACTGAAATGGCTAAATATAGCCTATCAATAGTTTATTAGTTTTAAGTTTATACTTTAATTTATTAGTTCATTTAGATAAACTACCGTTGGATGTTTTCAAATCTAGCCGTTAAATTTGAATAAATTATTGTAACTGAGTAGCTGGGCTAAAAAAAGGGTTAAAAATGGGGCTATATTTGGCCAACCTGATGCCCTTTGGCCAAAAAGGGCATGGTGGGTTTTGTACAGTTATAGCTCAGTCTTTGGTTGAAGACATAGCTATTTTTTTTTTACTTTTAGACCTTTAACCCTCTTCACTGAAGATGGCCTTAGCTTTTCATTTTATCTCTCTTGTAACTTATCTTTGATATTTTGTGCTGATTACCTTAACTAAGGGATGACCAATAAGTAAAAGCGTTTTCCCATCATTTTGCTTAATCTATCATCTTAGAATCCCACTTCTCCTACGACCATCCTCTCTACTCCATCTTTCATTGTGTTCTTACTGGCCAAAAAGGTTGTTCTTTTGTGGTGGAGCTTTGTACTATTTTGGTTGTGCAGATAGGTTTGAGTCCATACAACAATTTAGTTGGGTTGTTATATTTTGGAGGGACAAGTCAAGAGATATACTATTTCGCCGGATCGTGAACTTTGTCAAACCACTCCTTGAAGAAAGTGAATATGTATTCATGTCTCAGCCTAATTATCTACGGGCTTCTTGAAAGAGAATATTAACGTTTCATTTTTTATTGTAATTTTTTTACTATAACTTTCCCAACATACTCAATTTCAACTCCACTAGAAATAAAATATTTAATAAGCTTGACTCACCAAATTTGATTTAAAAATATATAATGTGACTTTACCGTTCAAAAGACGAAGTGCAACATTGAGTTTAGTTAATATAATGGGAACTTTAACGAAAAGCTCTCGGTACTGTTTACTTTAACGAAAAACCACATTTTTACACTAAAAAGTCAATCCTGGTACTATTCACTTTACCCTTTATTTTGTCCTTATCATTAAAACTCAAAGTTTTCAAACCCTTTTCATTAGTTTTCCTTAATATAATTGTATCCGTGTATCACTTCATATTTAACTAAGTCAATTCATATTAACTAAGTCAATGTTAGATAAAAAAACAATAAAATTGGTATTTTGGCCGCACCGTACCAATTTTGCCGCACCGTACCAATTTTAGCCGCACCGTGTGGTTTGGGCCGGGACCGTGTGTTAATGTTGGGTGTATCACTTCATATTTAACTAAGTCAATTCATTAACTAAGTCAATGTTAGATAAAATAAAAAACATTTTGGCCGCACCGTACCAATTTTAGCCGCACCGTGTGGTTGGGGGGCCGGGAGTATTATGGAACTTAGTTGTACTTGCACCAGCCACCAATTTATGCAATGAGTTTTCACTTTGTCGTCAATAAAAGAAGAAGAAATTTCTATGTCTGCTTTTGCTCGATGAAAGAATTCGAGTGCAGTACCACCAGGAAGTCAAGCAAATACACATATATACTGTACACGTCGCAAGAAAAGTCCGTTCATGAATAAATGAATCGATTTATACAATCGATTTTTTTTTAATTATGACATATAGGTATATTGAGTGGTTTTATTTTCGATTACATTAATAATATTATTATTATTATTTTATAATGAAACCTTCATATTGCCATGTTGTGCATGTGATAAGATGCAAGTTAAGGACAACATGTCGTAGTTAGTAGTAAGCTGCTGACTTGTTCTTTTGAAAGGCGGTATTTAGTTGAACGATATGTAAGCCTGAATGGATGTGATGTGCATGCGGTCAGAAGCAGATGCACATCGGGACCAAGGTATTCCTTGGACTCTCCAAATGTTTTTTACGAGTCCTCTTGTACCTACTAAGTGTTTAATGTAATACATGTTAGCCATACAAGTTGCATGGACAACACTCGACAAATTCTCTCGATACTACTCATCAAGTGTTCGAACAAATGTCTCAATGAATAAACTGAATTTGTTTTTTACACGCCTCACACACTGTTTCTATCTAAAAAGCTTAGACCTTTAATACTGAGACCATCCAAGAATCAAATCTTGAGTCCACACTGCATGTGATAAGATGAAAGTTTGATGTGTGGGTGATAAAATACAAGTTGGAGGACAATAATATGGTTAGTAGAGAGCCAATGTCTTGTTTTTTCCGAAATCTTGACAAAGTCATGCATGTTAGGTTGAAGAAATAACGAGCTGGTTATTCATTATCCTTTGGAGTTTGATGAGATCATCATCTTAATGCTCAGTTAAATTATAGACTCTAGAACTAGAAACTAATTATAATTTTCTAGGAAATAATAACGATTTCGTTATAAATACAAACATTAAATAAAAAATCATGAATTAAATCCAAATGATGATCAAACAAAAAGAACACTAAAACAAAAAACAAGCCCAAGTTAAACAATCTAAATAGTCATCATATCGACGGATTTCAGTTACGAGACAAAGATATTGCTGAAGTTTTAGGCAGAAATCACGACGCTACAGACAAAAGATGGAAATTTGTGTCAGAGATCAGGAAACAATAATGGGCCATAGGAATGTTCTTTCCATACAAATTGTGGACGTACGTGATTCACATTGATAGGTACAGGGGTATCATCTCGTTAAAATTAATAAGTTAAATGACCCCTCATTAAGACCCCGTTAAGAAATGAGAAAATTAAAATTAACGGGTGTGTCATCCTTTATTATTCATTACTGTAACTATTGTTTTAATGGTTATTTCTCATTCTTTTTTTTCATATCTAGAAATTCAAGTATATATGATCCATTGTTCTTAAAAAAAAAACATTGATATGTACCAACTCTCAAATTGAAACGTACCTATACTAATTTAGAACATATTCATATTGAATTACAATGTATGCTTACTAAATTGCAATTTGCCCATGCTGAATTGGAACGTACCCATATTAGTTTGAAATGAACCGGTAAGTTTAGGTTACACATAACTTGCCGTTAGGTTTTCACATACTAAAATTATGATAACATAAACATATCAATAACCTGGCACGTATCTAAACAAAAAATAAATAACATATCAAAATACTAATTTGCACACACATTTGAATTACATGACGTTACAATAATGTACCAATTTATTGGTAGACTATTTTTAATATACATGGGCCTGCATATATATATATATATATATATATATATATATATATATCATGTATGTAATATCATTTGGTGTCATGCCTGACCCGCGAATAAAGACAATTCACGAGCTAGGGTGTGAACCATATCTTAGCTATAGAAATAAATTTTACAACCAAGACATGGTGGAAAAATTAAAATAAAATTGATTAATAATTGAAACACTATTCACGTCACAAAGTTTTACATGATAAAACTTGAGTTTATCACATATAATTTATTGAATACGCAGCGGAAATAACAATAGTACACAAATTAATTCACAATAAAAACTACCAATTAGATAACAATTAAATTGTAACAATTCTTTCAAATGCATAAAATATATGCAAATGAGATGGATGAATGTACTCATTCCCTTCTAATCCCGTTAACACATACCTAAGGCATCCAAGCCTGCGCGTCCTATACCATGCTGATACCACTTGGCTCCAAATACCTTAGAATATTAGTTAACTCCTGTTCATCCCTTAAACCCAATTTTTGTATTTAAATTCTCAGTTTCCACTTTGTTATACAAGCACTTCTCCCGACGCCCAATTGTATATTCAAGCCCTTCCTCTGACGTCTGACATATACAAGATTTCATTATTTATAAAATCAACCAATTTGTATACTCAAGCCCTGCACCCGACGCCTAGCATATACAAGGTTCATTATTTTATATTCAATGCAAACTCCAGCCCTTGCATATCCTCGCAACTCAAACACTTTATCTAAGTGAGCACTTCACACAACACGACTCTTTTTCTTGCTTTGCAATGCATATACATATATAATGCAATGTA